TATAACTGTTAAGTAACTAAACTACTTATATTCGTGTGCTTCTTATTATGAGCTTTATTTTGACCCATAGGCTATTATTACATGATTTACCATTCTTGAGTTATATCCAGTCTATCAATTACTATCTCCTACATTCACAGCTACATATAGTTGAATCTTGTACAAATGTTGTTTCCTATTTTGTGGTACGATGTGGTCTGTTTGGTTAGTATATAAACTCAGTATGCTTGAAATAAATGATTCATATTGCAGAGGCTGAGATTGGTGTTCTAGACTTAACAGCCAGGGCTAAGCAGGAAGCAGGAAATATAAGGACACTAGACTACTCGTATGGGTTTTATGCGTCATTGGTCCGATCGATACTTCACTTTTCTCCAATTGGCAGTATCATTACGTTATACATTAATAAGGAAACAGGGCACAAGATATAACACGAATGTAGATTATCCGTCTTCGGGAATTCATATTTGAACTCAAATAGATTTTCAAGAGTTCACACAGTGCTCTTAACTAGACTTGGATGTTTAGAATAACGATTAAGACTTTAGGATCACCAACTGATATTAAATATACATTGAGAAAATTCTTTATAGCCATACAAATGAATGAGTTTTACGGAATAATCCAAGAGTCTATATCAGATTAGTTTGTCCATATAATCTAATCTCGTCTGGTTAGTTTGTTTTAGTATTAAGAGTTTTGGGTTACTGTTAAGTCGACTTTCGGAGAACTTCAACGGAGCCTCCAGAGGCCCAAAAGGAGCCGAAGAGTCTTAGCCAATCAGAGCATGATGGAGCATTCTAGAATACCAACGTGGTGTGCTACTATTGATCAGTAGCATAATATGTCGTTAACGGATCGGCCGAAATATGATGTTGATTTAACAAACGCTAACATCTATAAATACCCATGTTTTCTGTAAGAAAACGAACCTTGTAATAAAGTATTTCTCTTATACTTTGCGTCTTCTCTCTAGTGTTCAGGTCGCTGTGTAGTTCTAGCTTGCAGGTTTCCAGAATAGCTTAGGAAACGAACATAGCGTTCAATTCGCAAGACTTATCAGTTACAATTAAGTAATATTGTTTATCTACCTATTATATACAATCTACAAAAAGAAAACAAAACAAATTTGATATGTTCACAGTAACAATCGTTTTTATTCTTTTAATAGTGAAAAAAATCATTTTAAACATCTTTAAAAGTACACACACACACAAATATATATTTCTACTATTCATTCTTACGTGATATTTGAATTTTAGGTGGAAAAACCTAAAAGTTACATTATTTATTTCCATTAACTTTTCATCATACTTTTACCTCAATGTTCTGGGAAGAAATAATCAATCAAAAAAATATGAAAAAAAAATAAGATTACTTTTTTCTCCCTCTCCCCCCCCCTCTCTCTCTTTTCTCATTTTTTTTGTTTCCTTGGCTTTTTTTTTCAAAAAAACTATACATAATAAATAACCTTTCTTTTATTCTTTATTTCATAAATGTGAATAAATAGCCAAGTTCAAAGATATTTCTTTTAATTATAGATTAATAATACCACAATTTAGTCTAATTATCATGATTACGGTCGAATTTTTAAAGTAGAATCTAGTAATATATATATATACTATCATCATTCTATACTCCATTAGATTTAAACGTTCTGAATTCTTCAATTATATTCATTAGGTTAGTAGGTTATATACACTATTAAATGATCTGAGAACAGAAACTGTATTCAATTATTCAGTTTTTATTTAGTTATTTATTTTTAGTTTATATCAGTTCACAATGAAAATTTATTTTACGTTGCAAATTGATTGATCTATGTTAGACAATTATTGAAAACTAGAAAACATATAATAACTGATTCGTTCTAGTATGAGATCTTTCAATAGTGAATAATCACGACCTTATTAGAGATTAAACTTATAGCTTTTAATATCAATAAACGATTAATGTTAGAGATATAAGCCATTAAAAGTCAGTATTCCAAGATGTTTACTATGAAATGTAAAGGTCTTGTGTTAAACTTTTGATGGAGTAGTGGATGTGCATTTCTGAATGCTATACTAGGATGAAACAACTCCCGAATGTGTTTTTGTCTATATAAGTCATCCAGTGGTAGTGAATTTGAAGTTTAACAGTTTATGAAACATTGTTTCCTTTTTTTGGTTACCTAACTCTACAACGATTAAATAGAAATAGTATGGGTTTTTAGAATTTTTAAATAGCGCATAAAACTTATAATATTTTTTATGCATACATATTTCTTCCTTGTATGCGATTACTTCTCCTTCTGATCAGTTTCGAAATCTTTTAACATCTTATACTGTTCAGAAAGACTAAACATTTATCAATCACTTCTGCTTATTAATGGCTAATGTTGAGATGAATTCTTGAAGGCCTGATGTAAGGTTGTGAGTCATATAGTTCAACTCTGTCAAAAATGAGATGGTTATCATCATTAATGACACTTTGATGATCTTAACTCTATATCCAGAATCGAATGACGTTTATAAGTATAAACTTCAACTCAACGGTTCAAAGATAAGGTGTTTGCCATGAAACCTACAATCCATAGACTCGATCCCTGACGTTGCTATCGGTTTGCACTACGTTGATGAGTCCCACCTTGATACAACAAAACCCTCCGGTGCTTCATGATTTTGAATGTTTCTTCCGATAAAGTTAATCTATACTGAAAATCAGCCTAAACGTAATTTCGCTTTCACTTGTCTGTAGATAAGGTTTTTATTGATAGGTTATTCAGAACCACATTTAGTAATAAAGCACCCGCTTGTAGCTGGTCTTTCGATGTTATGGCTAGGTTTGCATATCGTGATGACCCGACCGTTTGTCATGCCCATTCCTTTAGGATCTCTCATGCTGATCAGATTGTATAGATAGTGATATGGCTGAGCATTGGTACGTTTCTCTCTTCCCATAATAAAAATAAATGGTAGAAAAGGCCGGTCTTTAGTGTTGTACACCTCACCATACTTTGTAAATGTAATGCCTGCATTAAAGTATAAGATGTAAGAGGCAAATACACCAACGATTATTCACAAGACGTCCTTATATAATCGACTTCAAATACTTGTACTTTGGGTACCGCGGTCAAGGCCACACCTAACCCAATGTCGATTTTAGCTATCCTCTCGTAATATGATCAGCTAAGAAGTAACAACTACCATCATATTTCTGACTTCACTTGAGATCACTTTGTTCACAATCGATCACTGTCTTCATTACCTAACATTCCTTTTACTTCCACTCTTCCTAGCAATAAAGTTGAATAAAATCCGAATTACATTTTTAACTTCCAATATTATTTTATTAGTATGAAAAGGTTTATGATGATTGTAAAATATAGAGAACTATATATAATACAAATGTCTATTTCAAAATTACCTGGTTAAAAGATAACTCAGACCTTGCTTACTACACGGAAACATTTCACACGATAATAAATTTGACTATTGCAAAATTTCCACAAGACTTCCGTTCAAAATATTTTTTCGTGGGAATACATTTTACTAGATAAACCAGTTATCATGAAAATGTTGTAGTGAACAGAACACGGATGGGAACAACCGAATTGTATTTAGCACAAAATCACAGAGTTACTTGGTAAAACAGAAAAACCATATAGTAAATCGTTAATTTGCAAAATATCATTCCATCATATCAAACCGGACTGTTGCTGTTGCAATCATCAATCCATTGTTTCACATTTCATTGTTCATGCGTTTTCATACAAATTGCATTGTGTTCCCGCTCTTCCTTTCTTGATCTGCCAGACATTACGTTTCTGACTCGCGTCGTATACTACATCCATCAATATAAGTAGCACGCATCACAATGTGACATCATACGGAATAGGTTTATTAGTAGTTCATTTAATAGTTTTATTTCGTTCACCTTGAGTTCTAGTATTTCTTCATAAATGCCTTCACACTTTATCTTTTCGACATATATTCTCAATGTTTAATCTTTCTCATTATCATTACTATTACAATTATTTCCATTTTTTTAAATACTCATATTGTTAATTTTACGTCATTGTGATGATTTGGTATGTTAACTTCTGCCAAAGAACATGTATGCTCAACTCTTTGTTGATCATTGTTGACTAGTCGTTTGAAGTAGATAACCCTATATAAACTTCGTTATAATAGTGTTACGTTTGATATTTAAATATTTGAAAATTAAATCTAAGGAAATAAATTACCATGAGAAGCTACTCTTAACTTTAGCCTTTTTACACTAGAGAATTTCTTGGTGTCATAACCGAAAATCCCATTTATATTACCATTCGCATAATATTTATTTCTCATATGATTCTGAAATTAAAGTTTATAAAATATTTACTGTTGTGATTGTTACTTCTTAACAGCTTATTTCAGAACAAATTCTTAAGCAGCGGAAGATGCATTAGTGATTAATGAGTTAAAAAGCAAGCTTACAATAAGGATGGTGAAGATTTGTAGCTCAGGTGGATTATTTTAATGGAGTTTTGTTCTCTGAGCTACAAATCTTCTGTACCATCTCAAAATCATATATGAGCGTAGTACACTTCTCGTTGTTCGAAAATTGAAGAATTCTGCCAAAATGCAGGTTTCCATGCGTGTCTTCGTTAGCATGTTCTGCATACAATACTTACTTACTTACTTACGCCTGTTACTCCTCGTGAAGGAGCATAGGCCGCTCACCAGCATTCTCCATCCAACCCTGTCCTGGGCAATCCTTTCCAGCTCCTTCCAGTTGTAATTCATCCTTTTCATATCTGCTTCTATTATCCGACGCAATGTGTTCTTTGGCCTTCCTCTTTTTCGCTTCCCTTCAGGATTCCAAGTTAGGGCTTGCCTCGTGATGCAGTTTGACGATTTGCGTAATGTATGTCCTATCCATTTCCATCGTCTTTTCCTAATTTCTTCTTCAGCTGGAAGTTGGTTTGTTCTCTCCCACAGAAGGCTATTGCTGATGGTATCCGGCCAATGGATGTTGAGTATCTTGCGTAGACAGTTATTTATAAATACTTGTACTTTCTTGATTGTGGTTGTTGTAGTTTTCCAAGTTTCAGCTCCATACAGTAGAACTGCCTTGACGTTCGTATTGAAGATTCTCACTTTGATATTGGTTGAAAGTTGTTTTGAGTTCCATATGTTCTTTAAGTGTAGGAATGAGGCCCTTGCTTTGCCGATCCTCGCCTTTACGTCTGCATCTGAACCTCCTTGTTCATCGATGATGCTTCCTAGGTATGTGAAGGACTCTACATCTTCCAGAGTTTCTCCATCAAGAGTGATTGGATTGCTGTTTTCCGCTTTGAATTTGAGGACCTTAGTTTTCCCTTTGTGTATGCTGAGGCCTACTGATGCAGAGACTGCTGCTACACTGGCTGTCTTCATCTGCATCTGTTCGTGTGTACGTGATAGGAGGGCTAGGTCATCTGCGAAGTCCAAATCGTCTAATTGGTTCTGAGCTGTCCATTGTATGCCGTGTTTTCCTTCAGATGTTGAGGTCTTCATAATCCAGTCGACCAACAGAAGAAAGAGGAAGGGAGAGAGTAAACAGCCTTGTCTGACTCCGGTCCTTACTTGGAATGCATCTGTCAGCTGTCCTCCATGCACTACTTTGCACTGTAGTCCGTCGTATGAGTTCCGGATAATATTGACAATCTTCTTCGTAGTGTCGAAGAAGTTTCCATAATGTCCTCCTATCTACACTGTCGAATGCCTTTTCATAATCAATGAAGTTGATGTATAGTGATGAGTTCCACTCAACTGATTGTTCGACGATGATCCGTAGTGTAGCAATTTGGTCTGTGCACGACCGATCCTTACGGAATCCAGCTTGTTGATCTCGAAGTTGGGCGTCTACTGCATCCTTCATCCGGTTCAGCAATACTCTGTTGAAGACTTTCCCTGGTATTGACAGTAGTGTAATGCCTCTGTAGTTTTCACATTTGCTCAGATCTCCTTTCTTTGGAATCTTGACGAGGTGTCCTTCTTTCCAGTCCATCGGCACTTGTTCCTCCTCCCAAATCTTTTTGAATAGAAGATAAAGTATGCTTGTGGTTGCTTTGATGTCTGATTTCAGTGCTTCAGCTGGTATGTTGTCGGGTCCTGCTGCTTTCCCGTTCTTGATTTGTCTGATGGAAATTCTGATTTCTTCTGTCGTTGATGAATTAACATCTATGGGAAGATCTATGTGTGCTGCTTCAATGTCCGGTGGATTCATTGGAGCTGGCCTATTCAGGATTTCCTCGAAGTATTCTACCCATCTGTTACGCTGTTGTTGAATTTCGGTGATTTTCCTGCCTTCTTTGTCTTTGACCGGCCTCTCTGGTTTACTGTATTTCCCTGCTAGTTTCTTCGTTGTGTCGTGAAGCTGTTTCATATTTCCTTCTCTAGCAGCTTTTTCTGCAGTCGTTGCTAGTTCTTCCACGTATTTCTTCTTGTCGGCTCTAATGCTCCTCTTCACTTGTTTGTTTGCTTCTATGTATTCAGCTTGTGCTTGAACTTTCTCTGCTCGTGTTCGGCTGTTGTTTATTACTGCCTTCTTGTTCTTCCTTTCTTTGATCTTGTCCAGTGTTTCTATAGAGATCCATTCCTTATGATGGTATTTCTTTAGACCGAGAATCTCTTGACACGTTGAAGTTAATGCTTCCTTGATGCCTTTCCAGTTGTCCTCCATAGTAGTTTCTTCTTCTTTCAGTAGATCTTGTAAGGCTTGGAACCTGTTGTTGAAAACTATCTTGAATTCATTGAGTTTGTCAGTATCTCGAAGGAAGGCTGTATTGAACCTTTGTATTGCTGTTTGTCCACTTGTCCAGTTCTTTTTTAGCTTCAGTTTTAAATTGGCTACAACTAGTTGGTAATCTGAAGCTACGTCAGCACCTCTCCTGGTTCTCACATCTTCCATTGTCCTTCGGAATTTTTTGTTGATGCAAATATGATCTATTTGGTTTTCTGTAGTGTGGTCCGGTGAGATCCATGTAGCCTTGTGTATACGCTTGTGTGGAAATATTGTGCCTCCTATGACCAATTTGTTGAATGCGCATAGATTTGCAAATCTTTCTCCATTTTCGTTTCTTTCTCCCAGTCCATGTCGTCCCATAATATCTTCATATCCAGTGTTGTCTATTCCGACTTTGGCATTTAGATCTCCCATCAGAATAGTTAGGTCCTTTCTTGGGTATTTCTCAATGATTGACTGCAGCCGCTCGTAGAACTGGTCTTTAATTTCATCGTTGCTATCATTGGTGGGTGCATAACATTGGATAATATTCATTGTGATCCCCTCCTTCTTTGTTTTGAATGATGCTTTGATGATTCTGGATCCGTGAGATTCCCATCCTACAAGTGCATTTCGTGCTACTTTGGACAGCATAAGAGCGACTCCCTGAGTGTGTGGAGCATTGTCCTCTTCATGACCGGAGTATAGCAGCATCTCTCCCGTAGCTAGCCTTTTCTGTCCAGCTTGGGTCCAGTGGGTTTCGCTGATTCCCAGTACTGCTAAGTTGTATCTCCTCATTTCCATTGATATTTGACTGGTCTTCCCGGTTTCCCACATTGTTCGAACGTTCCATGTACCTATAAAAATTTTTGCTCTGGTTGTTAGAAGGGGCATCGGCCTCGTGGCTTCCGAAGGAACTCGGCTTTCACCATGAAGCGTCATAATTCTTCTAAATGAAGACCTTCTAACTCCCAGGGCAGAGTTAAAATGGTTTGGATTATTTTTCTTGGTAAGCGTTTTTTTAGCGAGTTAGTTTTCTACGGGATGGGGACGCTAACCCCATGCCCAACCCTCCTCCTTTACCCGGGCTTGGGACCGGCAGCAACCCTATAAGAGCTACAGGCGGAGTTCTGCATACAATAAGGGTTATATAAAAGCATTATAAAAAAATATTAACTCAGTCAATCATAATCAACACAAGGCCTGGTACTTATATACACCGGTTTTAGTTGCCACGTCAGCACGGTAAGATAAAATTATCAAGATAAATACTAAAGTAGCATTAATGGTAGTAAAATGACTAAGCCTACAGTAGATAATTCGAGTACAAAAATTATAAAGCACTTTTACAATTCAAGAGCTAGAAGAATATAATCAGTGGTTAATTTTCATGCATGTCACCTAAAGTCTTTAACTACTGATCGCGATCATAATAACTGCGTAGACCCCAACGAAATGATGTGAATCTACCAATATAACTTCATGGACTGACGCCACGTCTTAGTTTGGCTGCCTCTAGTTTTCAGTCAACTTATTCCTACATCCTTTAAAATTACACGTCAAAGAGTAGGTGTAATTAAGCAGGTAACACGTGTCTTAATCACTTCAGTTGATGGAAATTTACAGTTTCATCAACCGATTAGTTATCTTTTCCTAGTTCCCTGTGTTTAACCACAGCACCACTCGATTGGGCGGCACCAACATAAGCCTATGATTAAATACTAGTAACCTACAGATACTACTGTGGTGCGTGCTACTTATACTGACATAAGCAGCATATTACGCGAGTCAGAAATGTAATGTCTGGCAGTAGAAGATTGGGAAGATCAAGAAAGAAAGATCGGGAATAGAAATAAATTACTATAGAGATGCAAGGAAAATGAAGTTCGAGACAATTATTGAACATTTATCATTCCTTTTATGATTCACTCGTATTGCCGCAATCTCATGCTCCAGCTCCTCAATCTTCTCAACACTATTTATCTCCTGCTTTCCGCACCCTACCGGAGCTACTGTTTGTGTCATCAGCTGTCAGGTCACCTTCGCTTGTTCACTGATGTCCATAGGTTACGCTTCGCCTACTAGTTTCAGCTGCTGGGAAACGGTGACAGACAACCGCTCCGTGACTGTCTCCCATATCGTCTTTCCGCCAGCATCGTCCAAGCTGTCATATACACCCCAGCACCACCATCTTTGCCTCCGGCTCCTTTACTCCCACCAGCTCCGCCACGGCCTCAAACTCCTTCAGGAAGCCCACCATATCTCCGTCCTCAAATTCCTTCGGCCATGGAATCTTCTTCCTCAGTGGAGGCAGCGACACCAAATGTAGTGAAGGAAAACACAGGTGAGGACAACCGAATTATATTTAACGTATAATCACAGAGTTACTTGGTAAAATAGAAAAACCACACTATAATACCTAATTTGAAAAATGTTGAATAATTGTCTCGAACTTCATTTTTCTTGCATCTCTATACTAATTGATTTCTATTCCCGTTCTTTCTTTCTTGATCTTCCCAATCTTCTGCTGCCAGACATTACATTCCTGACTCGCATTATATACTATTTATATCAATATAAGTAGCACGCACCAGACTACTACTACCCATATTTCATGATTTTCATTTCTTACCTTCTCACCAATCGACTATTATATTCAGTTACTTGAATAATGTCAAAGTATTTTCCTCTAATAATAATAATAATTAATTTTAACTAAATACGTTCATTATGTTTCATTTGATCTAATTATTATTTTAGATCGCAAATCATTTCCAAAAGACAATTCGTTTCTTACATTGTTGAATAAGTGTTTCAATGTTCCATTTTATAGCTCAATAGTGACTCGCAGTTTCTTTTTTGTTAATTTTTTTATAATTATAGTTTAAGAAAATGTTAAATAAAGAATTAAGTCAATTCGCTGATGCTGGTCAAAGTGGCAAGCAAATATCCGAATATATTTGTTCAACATTTTTAGATTCAAAAGAAAATGATCCATTAACAACTACAAATCATCCATCTATGATATCACATAATAATACACATGGAATAATGTCGAATAGTATAAATAAAGATATAATAATAAATAATCATGATAATCTTTCTGAAATGAATACATATAAACCTTTAGATAACATAAATAATTCAGAATCAACTGGTATGTATTTATTTAGAACTGTTGAACCCGGTGAAACAATTCAAACAACAGCAGCAACAACAACAACACTGACTGACATTACTGATGGTGATACAATGATAGCAGTGACTAGTGATAATAACAGTAGTAATATTCCTAGCACAATTAAAAGTACAACCGCAACAATGGGATCTACTATAATGAGTAAATCATTGTCGAAATTATCTTCCTCACTATCAACATTATCATTGAAAATGAATAGTAATATGAATGTAAATGAAAATACTAATAGTAATGACAATGATAATAATAATAATAATATAATGATTAAATCTAGTGGAAATTCTCATATCACTATGTCAATCCATTCTTCTGGTACATCACCTCCTCCTCCTCCTCCTCAATCTCATCAACATCATAGTGAATATGATAAAATCCATTATTCACAAACACAAATTGTACCATATGTAATAAATTCAACAAATCCAAAGAAACTTGAAGATGTAAGTTTTCATACTTATTCTTTGGTTCTTTTGTATTTTAGACTATATATATAGTGCAATTTTCATCACGGAT